GAAAGAAAGCAGTGGGGAGGCTTGTAAGGACTACATAGAGGGGCAAAGTAAAGACCACATAGAGGAGAGATCCTTCAGTCATATAAGGACCAGAGCTCCCCACCCCACACCCAAGTCGCCCCTGAAAGCTGACTGGAAGGGGTTCCTGCAGGCTCAAAACTTGCAAGTCAACCAGGGAAGGGCCCAGCGTGCTCACCACTCGGTGGTTGGGGGCCTGGGCCCGCGATGACTCCCGAGGCAGAGGCTGCTTATGCAGCTGTCGCTCGCTCTCCAACTGCAGTTCGAGCAGCGTCTTCATGGAGAGTCCTTGCTTGGCCAGGCCAGCCCACAGTGGGGGTGGGGAGCTGGGTGCAGGGGGCACTGGGACTGCGGCCACTGCCTGCTGCTGCTGCAGCAGCTTCAGTAGTAGCTCCTGTTGCCGCACCTGAACCAGTGAGACAGTGAGGGCCAGCAATCTGGCCCCAAGCTCAGGCCCAAGAAGTGGAGGGCTCAGCTGGGAACCCACCTGCTTGCGCCGAAACAACTCCTCTTCCTCCTGTCGCCGCTTCTGCTCCTCCTGTTGCTGCTGGCGTCGCTTCTCTTCCCGGCGCTTGCGCTCCTCCTCCTCCCGCTTCACCCTGAGCTCCACTTCTCTGCGCTCTTGGAACTGACAGTCAACAAGATCAGCTGTCAGACATGGGGGCACCCTTACTTCCCTGTCTCAGTACAGCTCTTGACACCAAGGACTCCAGCCCCAGGATGCCTACTCACTTTATGTTGCAGCTGGAGTTGTTCTAGAATTGGACCCTGAGTCGAAGAGTTAATTGGTATGTCCCATAGACTGGCCTCACCGCCTGCAAGGGGCAAAGGCAGCTGCAGGAGGGCGCTCAGGCTCCCTGGACTAAGCAACCTGGGGGGTAGGTGAAGCCCCTGAGCTCCCTACTTCCCCAGAGACTACTGGGCTGGACACACACCTGATTGTGATGAGGCTGAGGTATGTATATCCCAGAGGGAGCCTGAATCTGGCACCGACAAGGACCGGTTCATCGTCGGGAGCAGGTTCTGGTCCCCACTTCTGAGGAGCAAAGCACTGATTCTCAGCAATCTAAACCCATGTCCCCGCTTTACATA